CTTCCACCGATCACTGTACGGGACCTCTGTGCGAGGTCCCGATCATGTGATCACTGATTGGCCAATCAGTCATCACATGAATAGGTGTAAGCAAGATGTCACTTCTGACATCATTGCTTACTACGTGTGAAATCTGTGAATGATCACAGAGATCACATGGTACAGGGCTATTCACAACAGCCTTGTACCATGTGACAAGCTGTGACCAATCACAGCTCTCACAGTAGTTCTCAATGGCTGCAAGAATGCAGCCAGAGAGGAGAAATTATTGCTTTTGCAGCCTTTATGGGTGTAAAAGCAATCAATGTAAAAAAAAAAAAAAATCTTCATCACCCCCCACAAATAGCACAGTGTCACCATGGTGACACTATACTGCTGCTAGGATGACAGTATGTTAAAAAAAAACAAATATAAAAAAATCAAAAGATATTAAAAAAAAAAAAAATTTGAAAAATTATAATTTTTGGTCAAACTAATTTGGGTTATTTTTTTTTTTTTACTAAAAAGATAACTGAATACATTTTGGCCAAGATTTATGAAGAAAGATTATTTATTTGCAAAATTTTATAAGAAAAACACTTTTTTACAAAAATTTTTGGACTTTTTCATTTATATAGCAAAAAAAAAAAAAAAAAAAAAAAACCCAGTAGTGAATAAATACCACCAAAATAAAGTCTTATCTGTCTTTTCTGGTTTTAGTAGTTCTTGTAAAGTTCACCTGAAAGTCATTGATATCACATTCATATTTTTACTCTTTCGCCCTTCAGTATTTTTATGGCCGTGTAATATTTGTTATAGATGTCATGCCTTTTTGAGAACTTCTGAGGAAGAGATTTTTGTTGATCTCGAAACACGTCAAGTGCGAACCATGCATGATCCATGATTGGATTTGCAATACCATCTCTGATGACACCGCCGCAATATGTATTGTAACTTTATGTTTATTTTTGAAGACTATAAAAATAACAATTTCATACTGTTTTTATAAAAAAAAATATGTCTGTATGTGGGGGTGGGGAGGCTCCAATTTTTTTTTTTTTATACTTTCATGTATTTTTTTTTTTTTTTTTTTTAACTTACGATTTTATTGCTATGACATAAGAGACCAATAGTGTACACAGAGAGGCTCCCTCACTGGCTGTCACTATATGTCAGTGAAGGTTTTTAAATGCAATTGCTGGCTTTTTTTTTTTTTTTCTTCACTATTCTCACAGAATTAGCTGTCGGTTTCCCTGGAGCTAAAGGAAACTTTGTTTCTTTTAACTCGGAAAATAAACTAAAAAGGAAACGGTTTCTGTTAAAATAAACTAAAAGGAAACTTTGTTTTTTCTAACTCGGGGAAATGAACTAAAAGGAAACGGTTTCTTCTAACTCGGGGAAATAAACTAAAAGGATACAGTTTCTTCTAACTCGGGGAAATGAAATAAAAGGATACAGTTTCTTTTAACTCAGGGAGATAAACTAAAAAGGAAACTTTGTTTCTTTTAGCTGGGGGAAAGTGACAGCCAATTCTGTGAACTATAGTGAAGAAAAAAAAATCCGGTAATTACATTTAAAAACCGGCACCAACATATAGTGACAGCCAGACACTGTATACACTGCTCTTCTCCTGCCTCTCAGCTGCCCCCTCACATCTGCAGTACACAGTCTCCTGTATCGGCACCTGTATCGGCTACATTTTTCCTATTGGCCAATATGTTTCGGTGGCCGAAATTTCAGTGCATCCCTAATGTAAAGTCGCATGAAAGTGGCGTGAAAGTCACGTCAGTCACAGTGGAAACTGCACTACTTGGAGCTGCACTAATGAGAACCGAGCCCTACATACCTCCTGAAATCTAACTAAAAAACTCTCAGAGATCACATCTCTCCATCCTGCCTTGTTGCTAGGATGTTGCTAAGAGACACCTAGCTCTAACTGTTCACCTTCATCATCACAGGAGCAAGCTCTTTCTCTGATTGAAACCCCCTTATAGGTTCTCGGACAACACAGCTTTGAGCTTGTTTGTGAGCATGCTCCTGTGACGCTGGAGATGGACAGTAACAGCAGGGAGTTTCTTAGCAACGCTCTAGCAACAAAGCAAGATGGTGCAATCTATGGAAGTTTTTCAGTCAGGCTTCAGGAAGTACACAACCTCTTGTCCCTCCGGTAGGGCGTCATATGTTGTCCTTCCCGGATTGTGCTGTGCATGTGCCTGCAGGGCCACACTGCGGCGAGATCGGTCACCGGCCATGTACCTTGGACATGGCCAATGACAGACCTGTGTACTGGCCCTGTTGCCAGTACCATGTGACCTGCTGTGACCAATCACAGCAAGTCACATGACAGTTATATAAAATGGATGGCTTCTTTCCATGCCATCCATTGTATACAAGTGTGTCTAGCTGTGAATGGTCACAGCGATCACATGCACAGGCTGGGCCAGTCACAGCCCATCTGTGTAGCGATTAGCCGTGGCCAATCACAGCTAATCACAACAAAAAAAGCTGAATGAATCAATTTCATTCGGTTAAATGCTTGCTTATAGCAAGCAATTCTTTGCTATAAGCAATCAAATTGTGTAAAAAAAAAAAAATTACTGATCACTTCCCCAAAGTAGTACAATGTTACTATGTATTTTTCGTACTCTCACCAGTCAGTGTCTCTGATCACCACCACACCAGTTATGTGATTACGCTGTACTGCACTGGTGACAGTATGTAGGAAAAAAAAAAAAATTGTGAAAATATTTTTTTTTTAATTTCATTTTCCGAAAAATAAAAAAAAAAATTACAACTTCAAAAAACTCGCCATGCCACTTATGAAGTACATCGGACTGTCTACTTTGCAAAAAGGCGTCATTTGGGGGATACCTGTGCCGTCCTGACATTTGGGGGATACCTGTGCCGTCCTGACATTTGGGGGATACCTGTGCCGTCCTGACATTTGGGGGATACCTGTGCCGTCCTGACATTTGGGGGATACCTGTGCCGTCCTGACATTTGGGGGATATCTCTGCCGTCCTGACATTTGGGGGATATCTCTGCCGTTCTGACATTTGGGGGATATCGCTACCGTTCTGACATTTGGGGGATATCTCTACCGTCCTGACATTTGGGGGATATCTCTACCGTCCTGACATTTGGGGGATATCTGTACCGTTCTGACATTTGGGGGATATCTCTGCCGTCCTGACATTTGGGGGATATCTGTGCCGTTCTGACATTTGGGGGATATCTCTGCCGTCCTGACATTTGGGGGATATCTGTGCCGTTCTGACATTTGGGGGATATCTCTACCGTCCTGACATTTGGGGGATATCTCTACCGTCCTGACATTTGGGGGATATCTGTACCGTTCTGACATTTGGGGGATATCTGTACCGTTCTGACATTTGGGGGATATCTGTACCGTTCTGACATTTGGGGGTATCTGTGCCGTTCTGACATTTGGGGGATACCTGTGCCGTCCTGACATTTGGGGGATACCTGTGCCGTCCTGACATTTGGGGGATACCTGTGCCGTCCTGACATTTGGGGGATACCTGTGCCGTCCTGACATTTGGGGGATATCTCTGCCGTCCTGACATTTGGGGGATATCTCTGCCGTCCTGACATTTGGGGGATATCTCTGCCGTCCTGACATTTGGGGGATATCTCTGCCGTCCTGACATTTGGGGGATATCTCTACCGTCCTGACATTTGGGGGATATCTGTACCGTTCTGACATTTGGGGGATATCTGTACCGTTCTGACATTTGGGGGATATCTGTACCGTTCTGACATTTGGGGGATATCTGTACCGTTCTGACATTTGGGGGATATCTGTACTGTTCTGACATTTTTGGGCCTCAAGAAATTAGACTGGCCGTCAGTACTCAATAACAAGATTTGGCATCCCCTCTAAAAACGTGAGTGCGCACGAAATGCATAAGGAGGAGCCAGTTACGCCGTGACGTCACGTCAGGCCATCTTTGATTGTGGACGGTTAGTCCTGACATCTCATCTCATTTTATGATATTTCTGATCCGGTTTTATACTTTCATCCCTTAATAAATTTATACTTACTATACTACACTATGGGCATTTCTTTTTTTAACTCCCTGGCGGAGTATTAATTTTCAGACGCCCAGTTAAAGACACAGATCCATCCCAGTACCCAGAGAGGGAATCTCCTGCATATCCAGGAAGCAGCACCCACTCAACCCTTAAGGGGATCTCTGGCTGTCTTGGATCATCACTAAAGCCCCGGAATCCTTTGATGTACTACCTACCCTTCAGAGGAGGTTACCCCATCACCTAGCCAATCCCGAGGACATATGGATATATATTTGCGCATCTAAATTGCGCGTCTGGTGAGTGCTCAATTTTTTCACAACTATTTGCACAAGCACCGGTTTACCAGTAAAGCAGGCACTTTCAGAGCACTACAGTCACCTTTGAACTTTACATCATTTATTGTCCATTCATGAACTTTATTTAGTATCTTTTTGACTACCGTATTTTTCGCCGTATAAGACGCACTTTTTCTTCCCCAAAACTGGGGGGGAAATGTCAGTGCGTCTTATAAGGCGAATGTGGAGCGGCCGGTCCGGTATTTCCACCGCGGCCGTGTCAGAATACCGGGCCGGCCGCTCAGCTCTGCAACGGGACCTTACCTGTTCCTCTATCCAGTGGCGTGCTGTCTTCCCAGTGCTGTCTGCCCAGTGCACATGCGCAAGAAGCGGTGCTTTTTGTGAATGGTAAGGCGGTACCTGGGACACATGACAGATCCCAGAAGCCGCCGGACCAATCACAAAGCGCAAGTGCTTCTCACTCATGAGCACTGGGCACCCAGGTGTCATGCCGAGCGCCATTACAGAAGCCGGGAAGACAGCGCGTGGCTGGATCGAGGAACAGGTAAGATCAAACAAAAACTCTGCGGAAGTAAGAGCGGGTACCTGTCAAATGCAGGTACCCGCTCCCCACCTCCCCAAAGGTCAGCAGTCATCTGTACTGTCCGCAGTCCTCTGGTCATCCCTGTGCTGTCCGCAGTCTCTGGTCATCCCTGTGCTGTCCGCAGTCTCTGGTCATCCCTGCTGTGTCCGCAGTCTCTGGTCATCCCTGTGCTGTCCGCAGTCTCTGGTCATCCCTGTGCTGTCCGCAGTCTCTGGTCATCCCTGTGCTGTCCGCAGTCTCTGGTCATCCCTGTGCTGTCCGCAGTCTCTGGTCATCCCTGTGCTGTCCGCAGTCTCTGTCATCCCTGTGCTGTCCGCAGTCTCTGGTCATCCCTGTGCTGTCCGCAGTCTCTGGTCATCTCCTGTACTATGTCTGCAGTCTCTGGTCATCTCCTGTACTGTGTCCGCAGTCTCTGGTCATCTCCTGTACTGTGTCCGCAGTCTGTGGTCATCTCCTGTACTGTGTCCGCAGTCTGTGGTCATCTCCTGTACTATGTCTGCAGTCTCTGGTCATCTCCTGTACTGTGTCCGCAGTCTGTGGTCATCTCCTGTACTATGTCTGCAGTCTCTGGTCATCCCCTGTACTGTGTCTGCAGTCCATTAGTTCAGAATTTTTTTTTCCTCTTTTCTGCCTCTAAAACCTAGGTGCGTCTTATGGTCAGGTGCGTCTTATACGGAGAAAAATACGGTAGTTGGTTTTTCATGAGTACATTTATTATATTATCTAGCGTTGCACCACTACTGATATAATAAATACTGATTTGGGTTATTTTCACCAAAAAAATGTAGCAGAATACCTCTTGGCCTAAATGTATGAAAAACAATTATTTATGTGCAAACTTTTATAACAGAAACCAAGAAATGTGACCTGGAGTGGAGATGTGAACCATCTCCATTGAGAATACAATGGAGTGAATTTCTGTGTCACAAATATTTTCAAGTCTGTGCAAGTTTGCTGCTCCATATTCCAGATGCAGGCAGTTACAAACAAGGTCACCTATACCCTGACAAATAGGAGGCGGCCTGATTTGCAACGAAGATTGTTTCTGATTTGCGTGATTAATTTCCCTCAACGTATCTTCAAACTGCAGACGCTGCCATTGCTATATAATTCATAAGGACATAAGTAACACAAGGTGTACTGATTACCTCAATTCTAAAGGGACAACATGAATGATGAATTTCATTTCTGTGTACCGCCATTAAAATGTTCCTTGTGAAGGAGAGAAAATTCCAAAAATCTGCGGCGGTGAGACATCAAGCTGAAATAAAGTTTGGAACTTACCACGAAACAGGTGGGACACTGAGTCTTGTATGACAGGAACTTCCGTATGCAAAGAGAACAGTCTGTAAGGGAGAGAAAAAAAAATGTTTTAGGGCACAAAATCAGGACGTTGTGTGCCAAGAAAGTCACTGACAACCCGCAAACTGCTACATAAACAACGTAACAGGCGAAGCGTCATTATTTTTCTTGAAATATTCACGTAGAGCCGTCCCAGGGGCCCTTCACCGGCCTGATTGCTGACAAGTTTACGTAAACGAGAAGGAAAGTTTTGCTTGATCAATAAGCTGAGGTTTGTTATATAAATCTACATACAAGTCGGTGTCATTATTCATTCTGAAGGCCTGAGTGGCCATCAGTGAGATTCTGTTCTGCAGTGGCACCATATGAACTGAAAACAAAAACTTTCAGTCTATCGGGGGAACTCCTAATGATACGGATGTAACTCTGGGAGTAGAATGAGAATACATTCAGTTCATTCAGTCCGCTTATAGAATATTTTTCTGGGTACAGACAGAACATGGCGGGGGGGGGGGGGGGAAAAATGAAGGTCACTCGGCAGACAGGCCATTCCCCAGAATCTGTGAACAAATGTTTTATGTCGCTTAAAGAAAAAAAAAATGATACATTGCACTATTTTTCTTAACTACTTCAAGTGTGCTTCTTGTTACTACCATAACCTACCACCAAAGAACGACCCAAACATTCTCCAGCTCTTGACGATCGCTGCGATACCATATACTGTATGTGTGTGTTTATTTGTTGTTGTACCCATAGTGCAGCCCAGAAACAATAGTTCACATTTTGTTTTTGTCTTTTTTTTTTTTTTACCTAAAAACACACTGACACTAACAGCAATTTTTTTTTTTAATCCTGACCTTTAACCCTGACCTTTTGACCCTGACTTTGACCCAAACACTAACCCTGGCACTGAACTAGATCAAACCTTGATCTAGGTCATCTTTCTTTATTTTTAATATTTATTTTTTTATCTTGTGACCCAGAATCAGGAGTCCTGGGTCCCGATCGTTAGAACGGGACCTGGGGCTTTCAGTGACACCGCGGTCTTTGTGCTGGGAGCATGCTGTGTGGTGCGCTTCCAGCACAAAGGCAAGTACGCAAATATGCGGCCCCACAGAAAAAAGCCCAGTTCTGTGAGGCCGCATATTTGTGTTACGTCGGCATCAATGGATTAAGCTCCATACACACGGGTCGAATATTTTAATTGCAAGCAGTTTAACCACTTCCAGACCGGACACTTTTACCCCCTTCCTGTCCAGGGCAATTTTCAGCTTTTAGCGCTATCACACTTTGAATGACAATTGTGCGATCATGCAACACTGTACCCAAATGAATTTTTTTACCATTTTTTTTGAGACAGATAAAGCTTTATTTTGGTGGTATTTATTCACCACTGGGATTTGTAGTTTTTTTTTGCTATGTAAATGAAATGTCCAAAAATTTAGAAAAAAAGTGTTTTTTTTTATAAAAATTTTGCAAATAAATAATATTTCATCATAAATCTTAGCCAAAATTTATTCCGTTATCTTTTTAGTAAGAAAAAAAAAAAATCCAAATTAGTTTCTAAGCAAAAATTATAATTTTTAAACATTTTTTTTTACATTTCTATTTTATTTTTTTATTATTATTTTTTTTTTTTTTTTTTTTTACATACTGTCACCCTAGCAGTACAGTGTCACCATGGTGACACTGTACTACTTGTGAGGGGTGATGAAGATTTTTTTTTTTTTTTTACACTGATTGCTTTTACACCCATATAGGATGTAAAAGCAATCATTTCTCTTTCTCTCTGTGTGCATTCCTTGCACTCATTGAGAAGAACTGACTGAGCTGTGATTGGTCACAGCTTGTCACATGGTACAAGGCTTTTGTGAATAGCCTTGTACCATGTGACCTCTGTGATCATTCACAGATTTCACACATAGTAAGCAATGATGTCAGAAGTGACATCTTGCTTACTACTTTGCATGTGATCACTGATTGGCCAATCAGTGATCACATGATCGGGACCTCGTACAGAGGTCCTGTCCGACAATCGGTGTTTCACTGTGTCCGGAGGACACAGCGGGCACCGGATCGCGGTGCTGCGCGCTCCCGGGGAGCGCGCACAAGCAGGGTGCGGGGAGGAGCCGTTCATAAACGGCCACCCGACCCTGTACTGCCACTGTCCGGCCGTTTATATACAACGGCCGGTCGGGAAGTGGTTAAATACTTGAATTTGACCTGGTGTCAGCCACTTGTACTCCCTGTACAACAGAGCTTAGAATAGGAGAGGGAGAAGCCAATTTGTGGTGGCTGTGCTCGTGTGATATCAAGGAGTATGCTCATAGGAGGAGAGAGCAGAGTGCAGAGAAATCAACTCATAAGTCTGCTGCTTCTCTTTTCACTGTCCAATCAGAGTCTGGGGGGTGAGAACAAGAAGTGTTATTCAACTGCAGCAGAGAAAAATCAGGTCTGGGGCGGTGCTGTGCAATTCTCCAGGAATAGATGGACAAAAATAGAAATCTTTAGGCAGGCGAAACAGCTCCCTTGTTCCATTGTATTTCATTTGTGCATTCGGCAGTTTGCTGAATTTCGATTTTAAAGGCATAGTTTACCTTTTCCAGAAATGTATTAAATGCAAACACATTAGTAAAATAAAAAAAAATATCCACGCATAGCATTTTTGCTTTGAAGCCTGCAAAGCACTGTAGCCACAATCAGCGTGTCATGGTTGCAATGAATGGGCTCCCGTATTATAGGACCCCTAGCCATAGGTCCACTCTGCTACTGGCCCGATCTGCAAGTTCCTCTGCCGAGGTAGCAGATGGGGCTTGTATTCTTTCCATTCACAGATCTCTGTGAATGGATGACAGATGTTCAGGTTGATTCAAATATTAACAGGACCCTGTAGGGAAAATAGGCGCTCACATATGGGCAGCACAACGGCTAAATGGGTAGAACTTCCACTTGGCAGTACTAGGGTCATTGGTTTGAATCCCAGCCACAGCACCTCCTGCCTGGAGTTTGCATGTTCTCCCTGTGCCTGCATGGGTTTCCTCCGAGTACTGTGGTTTCCTCCCACAATCCAAAGACATGCTGGTAGGTGAACTGACTCCTGTCTAAATTGGCCCTAGTATGTGTATGTATGAATGCGAGTTAGGGACCTGAGATTGTACGCCCCTTGAGGGTTGGGGACCTTAGATTGTACGTTGAGGGTTAGGGACCTCGCCCCTTGAGGGTTAGGGACCTTAGATTGTACGCCCCTGAGGGTTAGGTTTAGGGACTGATGTGAATGTACAATATATATGTAAAGTGCTGCGTAAATTGTACCTGTAATAAATAAATACATGGGCGCACTGCAGCATATGCCAGGAGTCTTTAAACTGCGGCCTGTGGACTGGATGTGGCCCTTCTCTTGCCTTTATCCAGCACCTTCCACCGATACAATGCACTATTCCTCCCACTGACACCAATGATGGGACACTATTCCTCCCACTGACACCAACGATGGGGCACTATTCCTCCCACTGACACCAACGATGGGGCACTATTCCTCCCACTGACACCAACGATGGGGCACTGTTCCTCCCACTGACACCAACGATGGGGCACTGTTCCTCCCACTGACACCAACGATGGGGCACTGTTCCTCCCACTGACACCAACGATGGGGCACTGTTCCTCCCACTGACACCAACGATGGGGCACTATTCCTCCAACTGACACCAACGATGGGGCACTATTCCTCCCACTGACACCAATGATGGGACACTATTCCTCCCACTGACACCAATGATGGGGCACTATACCTCCCACTGACACCAATGACTACCCCAACACCAATGATGGGGCACTATTCCTCCCCTGACACCAATGATGGGGCACTATTCCTCCCCCTGATACCAATGATGGGGCACTATTCCTCCCCCTGACACCAATGATGGGGCACTATTCCTCCCACTGAGACCAATGATGGGGCACTATTCCTCCCACTGACACCAATGATGGGGCACTATTCCTCCCACTGATACCAATGATGGGCACTATTCATCCCACTGACACCAATGATGGGGAACTATTCCTCCCACTGACACTAATGATGGGGCACTATTCCTCCCACTGAGACCAATGATGGGGCACTATTCCTCCCACTGAGACCAATGATGGGGCACTATTCCTCCCACTGAGACCAATGATGGGGCACTATTCCTCCCACTGATACCAATGATGGGGCACTATTCCTCCCAACTCACACCAATGATGGGGCACTATTCCTCCCACTGAGACCAATGATGGGGCACTATTCCTCCCAC